CTTTTCCAAGCCTCCCACATGGGGTTCATGAATCTCTTAGTGGTATCCATGTCTTCTACCACCACGGATTGTTGGGCATATTCCCTTCACTTTTAACTATCAACATACTTGTCCATCCACTCCTATCCCCCTAGACTGTATTTTAAGAGCAGGATGGGCCGGGTGCAGTGGCTCATGCCTGTAATCGCAGCACTTTGGGAAGTCAAGGCCGGCAGATCACGAGGTCAGCGGATCGAGAGCAGCCTGAACAACTTGGTGAAACCCTGTGTCTACTAAAAATACAAAAATTAGCTGAGCATGGTGGCGTGCACCTGTAGTCCCAAGTACTCAGGAGGCTGAGGCAGAAGAATCACTTGAACCCAGGAGGCAGAGGCTGCAGTGAGCCAAGATCGCACCACTGCACTCCAGCCTGGGCGACAGAGCGAGACTCCATCTCAAAAAAAGAAGAAAAAAAAAAAAAAAGCAGGATCCTTCACAATATCCATCACAGCTGAACTCAAAGCCGCTTTCTGACTGCATATCCGTGAACGCCTCATCTCCCCGAGCCCACTGCCTCGTCTGTGATGTGGGATGAATCTGCCCTGGCATGAGGTTGTGGTGAGAATTAAATGAGATAATATTAGTCTATAAAGTGCCTAGTACTGAGTATGGCTCTCGATTCATGGCAGTTTGATTACCTGGATCCTCCATTCCTGCTGCATAGTAGCAGCTGAATAAATGTGTTGAGTTGGAATGAAATGGTTTGAACTGCCTGCACCTGTATGTGTCCTCCGGGTTACCGGCGAGGGGTGGGAACCCAGGTCTCTGAGTCAGTGCCGGGAAAGCAAATTTCCTCCACGGTCACTGTTCCCTGTGGACGGATCACAGGAAGTAGAAGCGCCATGTCTAACTCTGAGTGGTCTGGAAGGCTCGTCCTACCAGATGCCAATGGAAAGGTGTCACCACGTGTCACAAGGGGGCTGGCCTGTTCCCCTCTGTGCCTGGCACTGTGCTCACGGGGCTTCCCATAGACAGCTCTGTGGGGTCATGACACTCTTTCTGCCCACTCTACAGCCAAGGAAACTGAGACTCAGAGAGAGTACACTGCCTACCTCCCGGAGACCCAGTGACTGTGGAAGTGTTCCCACTCAGGATTCCAGTCCCAGAGACAAAGCGACCATGGCGATAGTCTTCCTAAACGTGTTCTTTGCTCCTGAGACAGGGAGTTACCTGGATGTAATTAAAGTTTTTGCCAGCTTCACGCCAGTCTGGGGAGCTTCTGCTAACACGCTGCCTGAGTGTGCTGTTTTCCAGGGTAGAGTGGTCCGAGACGTGTGTAAGCTGTCTGCCTCCACGCTGAACGGCCGCACTGCAGCTCTCAATCTGCCGCTATCATTTCTGACTCATCTTCCCGCTCCAACCTGGCATCGGGCCCACCTACATTAGCCCTCTGATCCGCTGCAGGCTGCGAAAGAAGGTAACTGCACCTGTCATAATTATATGCAAAGTACGAGTTCAGAGGTTCTGATTTAGTCGTCTAGCACAAGGCCAGAAATGTGGAGTTACCAAGAGCCCCGCAGTGTCTCTGCAGCCAGGCTTCTGCGGACCACACTTTGAGAAACACTGAGAGGTAAAGGCGCAAAAGGGAAGGACAGGGCGGGTTCTGCAGCGGCGTCGGGTCTGAGGCTGGAGATGCCAGAGTGACGCTGGGTGGCAAACTGAGCCTCCCACAGGGCTGATGCTCACAGTGACCCTCCAGCTAGGTGTTGCTCCTACTTTAGAAACCAAAAAACGGGGGCTGTAGTTAAACTGCTTGCCCAAGGTCCATGGCTCTAAGCAGAGGAAGCAGCGTGCGCCCCAGGCCAGTGCGACTCCAGACTGCCATCAGCTCCCCCGTGCTCAGTCGGTGGCGCTGATGCTGATGCTTCATGCCTATGAAGCCCTTCCTACATGCTGTGTCCAATATATTGTCTCCTATCACAACCCCACGAGCTAGACCCCCTTCGAAGATGAGGAGAAGGTGGAGCTGAGACGCTGCGTAACTGGCAGGAGGTCGCAGGCTCACTGGGATCTGAAACTGACACCAGAACCCGGAAGCAGAAGCATCGCCCCACACAGCCACCTCGGGGGCGCTTCCCTTGCCCCCCTCCTACATGAGGCAGATGCAGGGTTCTTGGCCCCCGAGGGATCTTTACCCCAAGGAGACACTGGGCAATGTTCAGAGAGATTTAATTTGTTTTTTTTTTTTTTTTTTTGGTTGCCACAAGGGTAGGAGGTGCTCCTGGCATCTAGTGGGTGGAGACTAGTTGCCACCCTTACCCACCAGCAAAGAATTATCAGGCCGAGAATATCAACAGTGCCCAGGTTGAGAAATACTGAAATGACCCAACTTAGAACAGCATCCACATACACAGACACACACACACACTCGCACCCTCATGCACACTCGCGTGCACGCACACTTGCACACTCACGCGTGCGCGCACACACACACACACACACCCCCCACTACAGCATCCAAGCCTACACCCCCACATCCCATAGAGACCGATGGAAAACGAGGATGCAGTTGAGGAGAAGCAAAGAAAGCCAGCCCCACCCACAAATACACCACATTCACCATTAACGTCATATTTATTGTTATTTAACTGCTCAGGAAAACATATACAGGTATATACAATATGCAGGAATACAGAAGACTGCACTTTACATATTTTTTTAAAAAAGAAAGAAAAAAATAACACTCAATTTCATGAGCTATTGTCACAGTCTTCCAACCAAGCATTTCAGAAATGAATTTCTTTTAAGAGTCAAAAAAGATTACAGGATTGCCTAACACACAGCAGAGTTAAGTTTTCATATTTTACATGTGCAATAACGTTTTCATTTTCTTTCCCAAAGAGTTTGCTATGCAGTACTGATTACCAGTGTTCGGAGTCCCGTGTGTTGGGTGTGTTTTTCATTTACTTTTAATTCTTTCCATTAAACCCAATTTAATGAAATAACATCCTTTTGCTTAAGGCTATTTTTAAAGCTGTTTCATTCTGGGGTCGTGGGGAGCGAGAGAGTTTTTAAAACTTCGGGGGTTTCTGAGGTTGCCAGGACCATGAGCTAATTGGAAGAGTGTTGATGAATCAACGCTGGGAAAGTCAAAGACAAAAAGTTAAGACACTTTGCTCCCCGGCCTTAAGCAATGAAGGAGGAATCATTCCTGTTTCAAAAGTAACATGATGAAGCTCTCAAACAGCTGTACACTGCAGAAGCAGAGGGGATGTGGAGTTTGGCCCAGAATATGGTCAATTCTCCCACAGCCCGTGGGGGGGGGGGGGGGGGAAATCCCCTTCCCTTTCCATTCCTTTTGGAGCAGAACGCAGGAACGCAGGAACTGCCTCGGCTCACACCTCTTCTCGCTGATCAGTTCATGCCACCTGCTTTATCTGCCCTCTGCAGCCAGGGGTTTGCCCCTGGTCAAGACTGCCCAGGCTGAGAACCGCAGACTCAAACCCCAGCCCAAAGGGCCGGCAGAAGGCAAGAGGGGAGAAGGGAGGGGAAAGAGTGAGGTTTCTCTGAAAGCTCCTCTCCCTTTGCTGAAAAGTTCTTTGAAATAAACAATGTGGGTGTTGTATGGGGAGCCCAGAGCCTTCCGGTCACTTGCTAAAAAAAGCTGGGATCTGCAAACTCTGAGGACCTGGAGGGGGTGGGGGAGCTCCAGGCGGAGCGTTTTTAGTAAGACACGCTCGTTCACAAAAACTGAAATTAAAAATAAGCGTCACCGATTTGGGTGAAGTGATATCAGTCACTTCTTGTCCGACCCACCCGGGAATCGATGTGTCCCCCCCCCACCACAAGCCATAAATGGCTATTGCAGGCATGGACAGTACCCAGAGGTGCCCGTCCCTGCCAGTCACCACTCATCTCTGCTCACAGCGTTTGTGAGATGCTCGAGACATGGCTCTGGTTTTGCAACAGGGTGAGATTGCATCAGAAGTTGGGGAGGGGACAGAGGAATTCCAGGGTTCCAAACTAAAAGGCTCAGGAATCAAAGTCATTTTGTTACATTCCCTTTCCCTGTCCTCTAGCCCTCGGGAGTCTGCAGATCCCTGCAAAGAAAGACACCCAGGCTCAGAGAAGGCGAGGCAGGCTGAGCAAGAGGGTGCCTCATCCCTCCCGGCGGGGGAGGGGCGGGGGGGGTGGCTGCCCAGGTTGGACTGGGGATGGGATGAGAGAGGTGGAGGAGACACGCACAGTCCCCTCCTTCTTCCCTGGGACGCCTGGCCGGGAACAGCTTTCGGAAAAGGGAAAGGGCGAAGAACTCAGCCTCCTCCAACTCCCGGCGCCCCAGGCACAGCAAAAGCGGGAGCCTTGCCCCAAAGAAGGCGGGCTGGGAGCGTCCCATCCCCCATGCAGTCCAAAGGCTGCTTAGCACAGCGTGAAAAGGCAGGGCTTGGATGTTTGTGAGGAGGCCCGGCAGAGGAGAGACAACAGCACTCTCGAACATTCTGACTCCTTCCCGCAGAGCAGAGCCGGACACGTCTGCATGTCCATCGCAGAGACAGACGGCTGCCCGCAGGAGAAAACGGAACCCGCGTGGAAGGAAACGGGAGGCTGAGCCCTGTGTTTGCAGGAACGAAAATACATCTATTTTCTTAGGGAACAGACAAAACAAAACCCCAGGCGGAATACCTAAGGGGGACGTTGTTTGGCTCCTGCCTGACTGATGACATTGCGTGTCAACCTATAATACCGTGACGACAATCTGTTTTTTTTTTTTGTTTTTTTTGAGACAGAGTTTCGCTCTTGTTACCCAGGCTGGAGTGCAATGGCGCGATCTCGGCTCACCGCAACCTCCGCCTCCTGGGTTTAGGCAATTCTCCTGCCTCAGCCTCCTGAGTAGCTGGGATTACAGGCACGAGCCACCATGCCCAGCTAGTTTTTTGTATTTTTAGTAGAGACGGGGTTTCACCATGTTGACCAGGATGGTTTCGATCTCTCGACCTCGTGATCCACCCGCCTCGGCCTCCCAAAGTGCTGGGATTACAGGCTTGAGCCACCGCGCCCGGCCACCGTGACGACAATCTGACCTTCACCCGGCAATATTCCAGAACTACCATTCTCCAGGATTTCCACTTTCATAAGCGGTGAACAAAGCAAAAAGAAAATCAAAGGGGAGGGGGGAAAGAAAAAGAAAAAGAATTACAAAAAGGAAAGTAACTCTCGTCTTCTTCTGAAATAACAATACTTGGACATACAGCAGCATGAAAATAAAACAAGGGAAGAGGTCATCTAAAAAAAACGTATGCCAAGATTACCGAAACGGGGGGGCGTGGCTACAGGGAGGGCTGAAGCAAAAGTGTGCTAACTGCAGAAGGGTTAACACTGGTAACATACCGTGGCAGACAAGTTTCTTTTTTAAAAAAAACTTTTGAGGTTTTCCTCCCCCCCACCTTTAAATTAACCCTTTCCGGTCCATATGCCACTAAGCAGGTACCAACCTAGAGGAAAAAAAAAAAAAAAAAAAAAAAATTCATTCACTCAGCAATAGTGGCCCTTTCAAATGAACAGAGGGGTGGGGTCAGGTTGAAGGGAGGAGAGAGAGACGGGGAGGGCAAGGGCCTTGCAGGGGACGGGGTCTTTCTCGTCATTCAAGTTAGGGCGGCCACGAATGTCCCAAATCTGTTGGAGATGTCAGAATGCAAGGACCGCCAGGTAGGCACGGAGGCCCGAGCCTTGGCGTCACCCACGTCGTCTGTGCAGTGGACAGACAGGCACTGCAAGTGGCTGCCGGGCTGGGTGGCTGAGGCCTTGTTTGCAGGGAGGTCGTGGGCTGTGGAGAGAGAAGGGAGAAGGACATTAGTGGAACGTTCCTCTATGACGGGTGCCGTAATGGGGGCCACAGTGGCAGAGGCATACAAGACAGGCATCGTCCACGCCCTCTTTCCACGGCTAAAGCTGGCCCCGGAGGATCTAAGAATGTTGTTTCAAATCCTCTTGCTGTTACCTCTGATTCCTCTGTGAGATCTCAGCCAAGGGAAGACTCCCCCACCCTGACACTCTCCATTGGGCCTCAGTTTTCCCATTGGGAAACAGGAAAATGAGGCAGGATAAACCCAAGAGTTTGCCCATCTCTGATGCACCAGAGTTCCCAAAAGACTAACTGGACATGAGGTAAGTCAGGAATGCTTCCTGGAGGAGAAGCATCTAAACTGGGCATCAAAGGACGTGTAGGAGTTCGCCGTATGCAGTGAAAGGGTGGAGGGGAGGACTGGCCGAGTCCAGAACACAGCTTATTTGTGTGTCATCCTCTGGACAGACGTTTGCTCAGGGCCTGCCATGAGCTCGGAACTTTCTTAAAACGTGCTAGACTGCCTACCAACCCCAAGGGCCAAGGAGGATCACTTCTACTTTATAGCTAAAACAACTGAGACCCAGAGAGGGTCACACAGGAGAAATTGTATAGTCCCAGCACCTTCCCAGAGGAGCAGGAAGGATGGAGAAGGTGCCTGTGAATACCCAGCCCAGCACAGCTGAGCCACAGAGATTGGAGGCCCACAGCACCCCAAGCCCCAAGCACTCCCCATGGGCTTTCCAAACGCTCTCCTTTCAGCCCCCCTCCCACCTCTGAAGGTTCTGCCCCCTCATCGATGTGCAGGGTTGAGGCTCCATGGAAGTGGCTTTGAGAGTGGGGGCGTCGCGGGAAGGAGCAGCCCTCCGGGGCACCTGCCTGTATCTTTCACTCCCTCCTACCCTCTGGCCTGAGCCTTCTCATACTCCATGTGACAGATGAGAAGTTTGAGCCCCAAAAAAAGCACAGAAAATTTCCTGGGGTCCAACAGCTCCAACCTAACAGCTGAGAGACTCCAGATCTAGCTCCGCAAAGGGACCCAAGTCCAGCCCCCTCCCTTGAAACTGGCACTGTCCAGCTGGCTCATGCACCTCCGTCTGATGGCTGATCTATACGAGGTGTCTGTATAAACTGTAAAGTGCTGTCCTCACAAGGACAGAGGGTGAAGTGTTCAGAGCAATAAAGACAAAGGATCTGGGTTCCCCAACCAGACCAGCACAAAAGCACCATTCTCAGCTGCTACGTGAAGGGACTATGGGCGCCTGGGGTGGGGGAGTCTATTCCTCTCCCGTACCCTTAATGAAAATCCCATGAATCCCCTTCTCATTGAGTCACATGATGCCAGACAACATCACAGATCATAAGGGTGCCTGTGTTAGGCATGTTTGGGGAGAAAGGAGTCTGCCAACCACTCACACCTTAGTATAAATTAGACCAGAGCAGGCAATTTGCAGGACTTCTCATTTACAGCTGCCACGTGACATTGGCTCTGTCCTGAGACAGCCATATGTCCGTGAAGAGTCTCATTATTCTCATTTCCTAGAATCTGACTTTAGTATGCCCAGGGTCCCACAGCCAGGAAGGGGCAGAAAGCTGGGTTTGAATAGGGCCTGATGTTGGATTTCTGCCTCCATAGAAGTGAGAAAAGCTGAAATTGGGGGCGGGGGGCTCTGCTCCAGCTGAGGGAGCACACCCAGATACTGAACTCCACGACCGGCCTGCCCTCAATCCTCTGTGCAAGCCCAGCCAAGTGCCCTGTGCCAGGCAGGAGTCACCCGCCCGCCCTGCCCTCTGGGATTAAGCAGGAGGCCTCCCGCAGGAACTGAGCTATAGCCTGCAGAGAAAATCCTCCCAGAGGGATGGGCCCAGGCAGCTGAGGACAGGCCATGACTAACTGGGCTTGGGGCCCCCACCCTGGAGCCCCAGAGACACCCAGCTTTGGAACCTGCATGCTGGGAGGAACCGGAGCTGGGGAGGAAGGAGCCTTCCTTGGCCCCTACCCTCATTCATGCAATTAACATGCAATTAACATCTCCTTCTGGAGCTGACGGTGAAGCCAGGAAACAGTGTCTCTTTGTGACCAAAGCATGGTCACTTTGGAGTCACAGCCCCACTACCGTGTGGCCAAGGCTCTACCTCTACCATGTTCCCTCTCTGGACCTCAGTTTCCCCACTGGTAACATGGGGATGATGTCGTCTCCCTTGAGGGCTTGTAATGGCCTGGCACACAGAGAGACCCCCAAACAGTGCTGCCAGGACTAGCATTCATATCTGGGAGGGTCGGGAGGGTAGGAGGGTTTTGCAGCCACTTAGAAGCCCCTAAAGCCCCACTATTTCCAGGGGCCCAGCCAGGAGGGCATGATCCTGCCCATGAAACAGGAGCCTCTGCCCCATTTCACAGAAGGAGAAACTGAAGCTCTGAATCCCAGGTTTCAAAGTTGGTTAGCAGTGGTGAAACCTGGGTGCTGTTAATACACCCCCTCAAGGCTTTCTGGGGAGCAGGTACCCCAGAAAGCTGAAGGCATCAGATGCAGGGTCTCTAGAATAGACAGCAGGCCCCAGATTCTGGCAATACTGAGGCACAGAACCCCAACATTTGCTCTTGAACCCATGCTGGCCTTGTTCCCGGTGACCCCCGTCCCCATCCTACCCCTGCTTAGTATCTCCAAAAGGAGTTTTATTCCAAGCACTGCGAGATCTGGCTTGGCGTGGGGTAGAGGAAGTCATATCTGCCACACAGAGAGACAGAGAACATCTGAAAGGGGGCTGCTTCCCCCACTTTGCACACATTATCTCAAGGAACGAACATAGCAATGCTTGTGCCCACTTTACAGATGGGGAAACAGACTCCGAGGGATGAAGCTCCTGGCCAAAGGAGAGACAAAATCTTTGCTTTCTGCAAGCACTCAGAAGGCGAAAGGAAGCCTCACCCGGAAGGTGAAAGAAAATTCCTGAGCAACACGCCGGGACAGAGGAAGTCTGCCAAGTGATGGGCAGGACAGACCCAGATGGCCAGATTTTCTAAAGATGTTTTCATCCCCAGGTTGTAGACACAAGCCTGCAGTGCCCTGACGCCAGAAACCACTGCTGTTCTTATTAGGGATGGATTTAACGAAGCCGTGCCAGGCACACTACTGAACACTTCCAGCAAGCTCATCAGTGGGGGTGCCCCTTCTCCCCACCCTGGCAGGGCCACCCTGGGCTCAGAGAGGGTGAGGGGCTTGCCCGATGTCACAGAGCACGGGTGCAAGACTCCCCAGCCTCCGCCTAGGACAAGCAAGAGAGCCAACCAGTCCGGTATCCACAGGGAGTATTTTTAAGAGAGAATATTATTCTTCAGTTCTTGACAACCCAAGCATGACCAAACTCATCCTCCCGCCGGATTCATTCCAGCTAGGGGGACCTAACACACCCTCAGACCGCGGCTCCCAGGGCGCCCGAGTCGCTGCTGATAAATCAGTCCCACGGAAGCCGCCTCAAGTCACGGCCTGCCCCAGCTCGAGAGAGGCCCTCCATCTCCGCTCCCTGGGGCTGCAAGCATGCCTGCCCCCACGCCAGGACCCAGATATAAAACAACCCCCTCGCTGAGCTCCCAGGGTTGGGGGAGAGACCCTGGAGTCGCTCAGCACCCGGCACTGGCAGGCACCTGGTGAGTGCTGCTCTGTTTTCCCTTTGATCGTCAGCCTCCCCCATCAGACCGTGGCCACATGGAGCGGGGCAGGTTTGGCCTATTCACCGCCGGACCCTGCACACACCAGGCGCTCAGTTGGGTCCAGTGCACTGACTGTGAAGCACCCTTCATTCCCATTTGACAGATGAGAAGACTGAGGCTCCAAAGGGCAGGAGCTGGCCAGGGGTCGCCCGGGGCCAGGCCACCAGCTCCGGGGGTAGCACTCTCTTCTCAGTCCAGGATTCCCAGCTGGTCAGGCCAGAGTTGAATCCCAAATGCCCCGTACCTGGGCAGCTCCTGTCTGCAAAGCCACAGTTTTTCTCATCTGCAACTCGGGGGTGGTGATTCCTGCTGAGCTCGGCTAAGAAGAGCATGGGGGAACCTCACCAGAGAGAACGGTGACACCATGGGCATGCTGGGGGGTCAGTCCCAGAAGGGGGGCATTGTCCTCTCAAAACAGATAACCCTGTGTGTGCCTCGCCCGATTCAGGCAGCACAGGGGGTCTGGGGGGAGGGGCCCCAGGTTCTTGGGGACCGATGGACATGCCTGCCCGGCAAGGAGAGACTGCAGGACAGTTTGTAAGGACAGCTGTGGCCAGAAAGAACCACCTCATGCCCCACGCCCAGGGTCAAGGCCCAGAGCTGAGACAGACACCCTGCTGTTTCTCCACCCGAAGGCCCCTCTCAGCTTTTCTCCACGGCGCAAGTCAGCACTGATCCTCCGGCCTCTTCCCACTCCCCCACCACCCCGCCCTGAACCCCGCAGCACTTGATTTGGTCATCAGCAGGCTGCCCCCGGCTCACCCCGCCGCGATCACGAGACCCACGTCAGATTCCGTCTTCCAAACTCTGTCCACGGTGGAGACAGTCAGTTCCATTAATGCAGGCGTCCCCAAACTACGGCCCCCTGAGGCCATTTACCCGGCCCCCCGCCGCTCTTCAGGAAGGGGCACCTCTTTCACGGGTGGTCAGTGAGAGGAGCACAGTATGTGGCGGCCCTCCAACGGTCTGAGGGACAGTGAACTGGCCCCCTGTGTAAAAAGTTTGGGGACGCCTGCATTAAGGGAAGGAGAGAACCAGGAGCAGGTGCCAGCAAGGCAATTGTGTGAGTAACTCAGGTCACTCCGTTTCTCTTACAGGGTTCAACCAGGACAGCGGCCACCGTCCGTGGAGCAGGGAACCGTGGCGCATATCACTTCCGTTCTCAGCACCTTGGCTCTAGGAAATGCAGGAAAGAATAGGACCGGCCGTCATGGAGGTAGCTGGAGAATGACGTGAAATGATCCATGCGAAATGCTTAGCACGTGGGGCG